TACGTGAGTGGATGTGGGTGGGTGTGAGTTAGACCTGATAGCTTGTGCTACCAGGTCGGTTGCCGTGTTCCTCCCTTAAGTCAATGGGACCTGACCTGACTAGGTTGGGTGCATTGGCTTAAGCCGGTAGGAGACTTGGACCTGCCTCGCATGGGCCAGTGGGCCTTCTGCAGTGTTCCTTCGTTCTTATGTTCTTATGTTCTTATGTTAACTACCCAGGATAACCCAGGGTAGGGAGGTTAACCACCCAGGATAACCCAGGGTAGGGAGGGTTAACCACCCAGGATAACCCAGGGTAGGGAGGGTTAACCACCCAGGATAACCCGGGGTAGGGAGGGTTAACCACCCAGGATAACCCTGGGTAGGGAGGGTTAATCACCCAGGATAACCCAGGGTAGGGAGGATTAACCACCCAGGATAACCCGGGGTAGGGAGGGTTAACCACGTAGGATAACCCGGGGTAGGGAGGGTTAACCACCCAGGGTAACCCTGGGTAGGGAGGGTTAACCACCCAGGATAACCCGGGGTAGGGAGGGTTAACCACCCAGGATAATCCTGGGTAGGGAGGGTTAACCACCCAGGATAAACCCGGGGTAGGGAGGGTTAACCACCCAGGATAACCCGGGGTAGGGAGGGTTAACCACCCAGGATAACCCCGGGTAGGGAGGGTTAACCACCCTGGATAACCCGGGGTAGGGAGGGTTAACCACCCAGGATAACCCTGGGTAGGGAGGGTTAATCACCCAGGATAACCCGGGGTAGGGAGGGTTAATCACCCATGATAACCCTGGGTAGGGAGGGTTAACCACCCAGGATAACCCGGGTAGGGAGGGTTAACCACCCAGGATAATCCTGGGTAGGGAGGGTTAACCACCCAGGATAACCCGGGGTAGGGAGGGTTAACCACCCAGGATAATCCTGGGTAGGGAGGGTTAACCACCCAGGATAACCCTGGGTAGGGAGAGTTAACCCCCCAGGATAACCCGGAGTAGGGAGGAGGGTTAACCACCCAGGATAGCCCTGGGTAGGGAGGGTTAACCACCCAGGATAACCCAGGGTAGGGAGGGTTAACCACCCAGGATAACCCTGGGTAGGGAGAGTTAACCACCCAGGATAACCCAGGGTAGGGTGGGTTAACCACCCAGGATAACCTAGGGTAGGGTGGGTTAACCACTCAGGATAACCCTGGGTAGGGAGGGTTAATAACCCAGGATAACCCGGGGTAGGGAGGGTTAATCACCCATGATAACCCTGGGTAGGGAGGGTTAACCACCCAGGATAACCCGGGGTAGGGAGGGTTAATCACCCATGATAACCCTGGGTAGGGAGGGTTAACCACCCAGGATAACCCAGGGTAGGGTGGGTTAACCACCCAGGATAACCCAGGGTAGGGAGGGTTAACCACCCAGGATAACCCTGGGTAGGGAGGGTTAACCACCCAGGATAACTCAGGGTAGGGAGGGTTAACCACCCAGGATAACCCAGGGTAGTGTGGGTTAACCACCCAGGATAACCTAGGGTAGGGTGGGTTAACCACCCAGGATAACCCTGGGTAGGGAGGGTTAATCACCCAGGATAACCCGGGGTAGGGAGGGTTAATCACCCATGATAACCCTGGGTAGGGAGGGTTAACCACCCAGGATAACCCGGGGTAGGGAGGGTTAACCACCCAGGATAATCCTGGGTAGGGAGCGTTAACCACCCAGGATAACCCTGGGTAGGGAGAGTTAACCCCCCAGGATAACCCGGGGTAGGGAGGAGGGTTAACTACCCAGGATAGCCCTGGGTAGGGAGGGTTAACCACCCAGGATAACCCAGGGTAGGGAGGGTTAACCACCCAGGATAACCCTGGGTAGGGAGGGTTAACCACCCAGGATAACCCAGGGTAGGGTGGGTTAACCACCCAGGATAACCTAGGGTAGGGTGGGTTAACCACCCAGGATAACCCTGGGTAGGGAGGGTTAACCACCCAGGATAACCCAGGGTAGGGTGGGTTAACCACCCAGGATAACCCAGGATAAGGTGGGTTAACCACCCAGGATAACCCAGGGTAGGGTGGGTTAACCACCCAATATAACCCAGGGTATGATGGGTTAACCACCCAGGATAACCCAGGGTAGGGTGGGTTAACCACCAAGGATAACCCAAGAAAGTCAGTGCGTCATCGAGGACTGTCTCTCTTATATCCATTGTGAGCCATCAATCTTGTCCCCCAGGATGCCACCCACACCAGTCCACTAACACCCAGGTACCTACTTACTGCTAGGTGAACAGTGACAGCAGGTGTAAGGAAACATACCCAAGGTTGCCGTCCGTGACGAGGATTGAACCACGGATACCCAGGTATGTGTGTGTGTGTGTACTCACCTAATTGTACTCACCTAATTGTGGTTGCAGGGGTCGAGACTCAGCTCCTGGCCCCGCCTCTTCAATGATCGCTACTAGGTCCTCTCCCTCTCTGCTTCCTGAGCTTTGTCATACCTCTTCCTAAAACTATGTATAGTTCCTGCCTCCACTACGTCACATGCTAGGCTATTCCACTTCCTGTGTGTGTGTGTGTGTGTGTGTGTACTCACCTAGTTGAGGTTGCGGGGGTCGAGTCCGAGCTCCTGGCGCGTGTGTGTGTGTGTATGAGGCGAGTGCGCTGTCAACCGAGCCACAAGTTGATGAATGGTAGTAACCCCACTCACCCATACTGTGGGTGACAGTCACCCTATACACACTACACTGTGGGTGATAGTCACCCAATACACACCACACTGTGGGTGATAGTCACCCCACACACACTACACTGTGGGTGATAGTCACCCTATACACACCACACTGTGGGTGATAGTCACCCTATACACACCACACTGTGGGTGATAGTCACCCCATACACACCACACTGTGGGTGATAGTCACCCCATACACACCACACTGTGGGTGATAGTCACCCCAACACACCACACTGTGGGTGATAGTCACCCCATATACACCACACTGTGGGTGATAGTCACCTCATATACACCACACTGTGGGTGATAGTCACCCCATACACACCACACTGTGGGTGATAGTCGCCCCACACACACACACTGTGGGTGATAGTCCCCCACACCACACTGTAGTGTAGCACCCACACCATCCACTGTGGGTGATAGTCACCCCATACACACCACACTGTGGGTGATAGTCACCCCACACTGTGGGTGATAGTCACCCCACACACACCACACTGTGGGTGATAGTCACCCCACACACCACACTGTGGGTGATAGTCACCCCATCACACACCACACTGTGGGTGATAGTCACCCCACACACACCACACTGTGGGTGATAGTCACCCCACACACACCACACTGTGGGTGATAGTCACCCCATACACACCACACTGTGGGTGATAGTCACCCCACACACACTACACTGTGGGTGATAGTCACCCCACACACACACACTGTGGGTGATAGTCACCCCACACACACCACACTGTGGGTGATAGTCACCCCACACACACACATGTGGGTGATAGTCACCCACACACCACACTGTGGGTGATAGTCACCCCATACACACCACACTGTGGGTGATAGTCACCCCACACACACACCACACTGTGAGTGATAATCACCCCACACACACCACATTGTGGGTGATAGTCACTCCATACACACCACACTGTGGGTGATAGTCACCCCACACACACACCACACTGGGTGATAGTCACCCCACACACACCACACTGTGGGTGATAGTCACCCCACACTGTGGGTGATAGTCAACCCACACACACCACACTGTGGGTGATAGTCAACCCACACACACCACACTGTGGGTGATAGTCACCCCACACACACCACACTGTGGGTGATAGTCACCCCACACACACTCACACTGTGGGTGATAGTCACCCCACACACACCACACTGGGTGATAGTCACCCCACACTCACCACACTGTGAGTGATAGTCACCCCACATTGTGGGTGATAGTCACCCCACACTCACCACACTGTGGGTGATAGTCACCCCACATTGTGGGTGATAGTCACCCCACATTGTGGGTGATAGTCACCCCACATTGTGGGTGATAGTCACCCCACACACACCACACTGTGGGTGATAGTCACCCCAGACACACCACACTGTGGGTGATAGTCACCCCACCACCACATCTGGGTGATAGTCACCCCACATTGTGGGTGATAGTCACCCCACACACCACACTGTGGGTGATAGTCACCCCACACACACCACACTGTGGGTGATAGTCACCCCACACACACCACACTGTGGTGATAGTCACCCCACACACCACATGTGAGTGATAGTCACCCACTCACCACATGTGGAGTGATAGTCACCCCACACACACCACACTGTGGGTGATAGTCACCCCACACACACCACACTGTGGGTGATAGTCACCCCACATTGTGTGTGATAGTCACCCAATTTGGGTGATAGTCACCCCACATGTGGGTTCACCCGACTCACCACACTGTGAGTGATAGTCACCCCACAACACCACATGTGGTGAAGTCACCACATGTGGGTAGATAGTCACCTCACATTGTGTGATAGTCACCACACAACCTCATACTGGTGACAATCAAGATACAGAACAAACTAATGGTTCGGACTGAGCCTCAGTTTTTAAATTAATACAGTCTGCGCATATTGAGAAAAAATATCAAATAAGCGAAATAATTCAATTAAATAAGCGACACTAAACTATTTTTATTAAAATTTGAGAATGCAGTCTGGGTCATTGAAAACAATAATAATTAACCTAACCTAATGAGAATTATTTTAAAAGTGTGAGTAAATTTCATGTATGGGTGAATTATTTTAGGTCAGGTAAAAAATAATTTTGGGTCATGGCTGCCTACTTTTTTTTACGTTAGAATAATGACGTTAGGTGTTCATTTTGTTTGATTTCTGATGTTTTATTGATTCAGGGCTTTACTACACATGGTGTAACATGCTTTACTGATTGCACCATGAGTAAAATAGATATATATGAAGGGTGTGAGGAGTGCGCCTGTCACTTGTTTGTTTACAAGGAGGGTCCTTCCTGGCTCAGCCCCAGCGAGACCAGCCTTTATCATCATACTCTTCCGTCTTCATCCACCATCATCCATCCACCATGAAGGTCTTTAAGGACATTATCACCGGTAAGTTAACCTACGGTAACTCACTGTTAGACCTGAGGCGTTAATTCTGGCGCTAGGATAGTCGAAATAGCCCTATTTATCGCTTAGAATTTAGCGAGTGAAATGACAGCTCTAGGTTACAGCTGGGTAGTGTAATGAATTTTTTTTTTTGTACCTCTGTTCAGGCTTTTTTTTTTTTTTTACCCTTTTTATATGGTGTGTATGAGTACATTGTATTGTATTCAAAATATCAATACACAAAATATATGAATAATAACAAGAGGCGACGTCATTTAAGGAAAATTTTTATTTTTACATATTTTTTCTACTTACATTTTTAGCTAAGCTTGTGCATTATTATGGTTCATTTGCAAGTGCTAATTGACTTTAATTTTGTAAATGAGAGAGGCAGGAGCTTTAAAAGCTTTCACTTTGACCTAGAGACGATGATTCATTATGTTAGGCTTGAATACAAAGCTTGACTTCACAGCTTTATGTTACAGCTTTAATACAGTTAAATACTCTAAAATAAAGTTGACTTTACAGCTGGGAACGTGAGAGTGCTGGGAGTGTGTGGATATGTTTCATAACGGCAGTAGGCCTATTGAATTATGCTGGGCAGGACCTGCTTTCACCCAGGACCATGCTAGGCAGGACCTGCTTTCACCCAGGACCATGCTAGGCAGGACCTGCTTTCACCCAGGACCATGCTAGGCAGGACCTGCTTTCACCCAGGACCATGCTAGGCAGGACCTGCTTTCACCCAGGACCATGCTAGGCAGGACCTGCTTTCACCCAGGACCATGCTAGGCAGGACCTGCTTTCACCCAGGACCATGCTAGGCAGGACCTGCTTTCACCCAGGACCATGCTAGGCAGGACCTGCTTTCACCCAGGACCATGCTAGGCAGGACCTGCTTTCACCCAGGACCATGCTAGGCAGGACCTGCTTTCACCCAGGACCATGCTAGGCAGGACCTGCTTTCACCCAGGACCATGCTAGGCAGGACCTGCTTTCACCAGGACCATGCTAGGCAGGACCTGCTTTCACCCAGGACCATGCTAGGCAGGACCTGCTTTCACCCAGGACCATGCTAGGCAGGACCTGCTTTCACCCAGGACCATGCTAGGCAGGACCTGCTTTCACCCAGGACCATGCTAGGCAGGACCTGCTTTCACCCAGGACCATGCTAGGCAGGACCATGCTAGGCAGGACCTGCTTTCACCCAGGACCATGCGAGGCAGGACCTGCTTTCACCCAGGACCATGCTAGGCAGGACCTGCTTTCACCCAGGACCATGCTAGGCAGGACCTGCTTTCACCCAGGACCATGCTAGGCAGGACCTGCTTTCACCCAGGACCATGCTAGGCAGGACCTGCTTTCACTCAGGACCACGTTAGACAGGACCTGCTTTCACCCAGGACCATGCTAGACAGTGCCTGCTTTCACCCAGGACCATGCTAGACAGTGCCTGCTTTCACCCAGGACCATGCTAGGCAGGACCTGCTTTCACCCAGGACCATGCTAGGCAGGACCTGCTTTCACCCAGGACCATGCTAGGCAGGACCTGCTTTCACCCAGGACCATGCTAGGCAGGACCTGCTTTCACCCAGGACCATGCTAGGCAGGACCTGCTTTCACCCAGGACCATGCAAGGCAGGACCTGCTTTCACCCAGGACCATGCTAGGCAGGACCTTCTTTCACCCAGGACCATGTTAGGCAGGACCTGCTTGCGCCCAGGACCATGCTAGGCAGGACCTGCTTTCACTCAGGACCATGCTAGGCAGGACCTGCTTTCACCCAGGACCATGCTAGGCAGGACCTGCTTTCACCCAGGACCATGCTAGGCAGGACCTGCTTTCACCCAGGACCATGCTAGGCAGGACCTGCTTTCACCCAGGACCATGCTAGGCAGGACCTGCTTTCACCCAGGACCATGCTAGGCAGGACCTGCTTTCACCCAGGACCATCCTAGGCAGGACCTGCTTTCACCCAGGACCATGCTAGGCAGGACCTGCTTTCACCCAGGACCATGTTAGGCAGGACTTGCTTGCACCCAGGACCATGCTAGGCAGGACCTGCTTGCACCCAGGACCATGCTAGGCAGGGTCTGCTTGCACCCAGGACCGTGGTAGGCAGGGCCAGCTTGCACCCAGGACCGTGGTAGGCAGGGCCCGCTTGCACCCAGGACCGTGGTAGGCAGGGCCCGCTTGCACCCAGGACCGTGGTAGGCAGGGCCCGCTTGCACCCAGGACCGTGGTAGGCAGGGCCCGCTTGCACCCAGGACCGTGGTAGGCAGGGCCCGCTTGCACCCAGGACCGTGGTAGGCAGGGCCCGCTTGCACCCAGGACCGTGGTAGGCAGGGCCCGCTTGCACCCAGGACCGTGGTAGGCAGGGCCTGCTTGCACCCAGGACCGTGGTAGGCAGGGCCTGCTTGCACCCAGGACCGTGGTAGGCAGGGCCTGCTTGCACCCAGGACTGTGGTAGGCAGGGCCTGCTTGCACCCAGGACCGTGCTAGGCAGGGCCTGCTTGCACCCAGGACCGTGCTAGGCAGGGCCTGCTTGCACCCAGGACCGTGCTAGGCAGGGCCTGCTTGCACCCAGGACTGTGCTAGGCAGGGCATACATGGCACCCACGCCTGTGCTAGGCAGGGCATACATGGCACCCACGCCTGTGCTAGGCAGGGCATACTTGCACCCAGGACCATGCTAGGCTGAGCTTATGTGGCACCCATGACTATGCTAGGCAGGGCCTGCTTGCACCCAGTACTATGCTAGGCAGGGCCTGCTTGCACCCAGTACTATGCTAGGCAGGGCCTGCTTGCACCCAGTACTATGCTAGGCAGGGCCTGCTTGCACCCAGTACTATGCTAGGCAGGGCCTGCTTGCACCCGTGACTATGCTAGGCTGAGCCTACATGGCACACGACCATGCTAGGCAGGTCCTTCTTGCACCCACGACAATGCTAGACAGGGCTTACTCGCACCCGTGGGAGCATTGGGCGGGTTTTCTTTAAGTCGCCTGTGCTGTTTGACCCTTGTCGGTTTAGCGCTTAGTTATGATTATTATAATTAAGGCACTTGCTGTCCCTGTTAACCTAGCTGTAAATAGGTTCCTAAGTGTTAGTCAAATGGTGTGGGTCGCATCCTAGGGGACAAAATTAACCTAAGTTGCCTGAAAAGCTCTGCATAACCACGGGCTTTCTGTATACTATTATGTCATTAACGTCAGCTAGGTCTGTATAAGTTGCATCATGTACTTGTAGAAATAAAAATTATTATTAGTATAATTATTATTAACTATTTTGATATTAAAAAATTAAAGATTTCCAGAAATTTGCCAAATTATAATTTAAATTGTGTTATGTGAATTTGTTACACGTGTAAAAACCTTACCTTCCCACCCTACTTGAATTGTCATAACTAAAAACATGAAATAAGAAATGGGGAATTATCATAATCATAAATTGACACAATAAATATTTTCCTCAGTAAAATAGCCATTTAGGCTTTGGGTACGTATCATACAATTTTTTTTTACAGTTTGTCTTTGGGGCAAACGTATTATGGGCACATAAAAAGTATATTGTATGGATTTAACCTTCTTTACAGTACTTTGCTTTAAGAGTTTTGCCAATGCAGCAGTTTTGCAATTATGCCCATTCTTCACTTATTCAGACTTCTTACAATAAATATATTCACCACTCACTACAAGCTAAGGGTGAAAATATTTTAAGCTAAGTAATGCGTGTACTGTACAGTGGACCCTCAGTTATCAGCCAGCTTGGTGATCGGCCGGTTTTTCGGCTCCCGGTGATCAGCTGTTATTTCGGTGATTGGCTGTTTCAGACACATCCGTCCCCCAGCTGGGGCTGCTTGTATGTTAGCTTGGCTGTGTCTTTCGGTGCGTGAGGAAGCTTCTGCTCATACATCTAAACATTTCACTTGTTTTCCATTGTTTGTGGGTTTTTGCAGTGGAACTGTGCAATAAGTAGCCATAGCTCCAAAGAAAGTTCCTGTGGTAAAGAAAGTGAGAAACACCATGGAATTTAAGCAGGGAGTGTAGCAGGCAGGCATGCAGGGAGTGTAGCAGGCAGGCAAGCATGCAGGGTGTGTAGCAGGCAGGCAAGCATGCAGGGTGTGTAGCAGGCAGGCAAGCATGCAGGGTGTGTAGCAGGCAGGCAGGCATGCAGGGAGTGTAGCAGGCAGGCAGGCATGCAGGGAGTGTAGCAGGCAGGCAGGCATGCAGGGAGTGTAGCAGGCAGGCAGGCATGCAGGGAGTGTAGCAGGCAGGCAGGCAGGCATGCAGGGAGTGTAGCAGGCAGGCAGGCAGGCATGCAGGGAGTGTAGCAGGCAGGCAGGCAGGCATGCAGGGAGTGTAGCAGGCAGGCAGGCATGCAGGGAGTGTAGCAGGCAGGCAGGCATGCAGGGAGTGTAGCAGGCAGGCAGGCATGCAGGGAGTGTAGCAGGCAGGCAGGCATGCAGGGAGTGTAGCAGGCAGGCAGGCATGCAGGAGTGTAGCAGGCAGGCAGGCATGCAGGGAGTGTAGCAGGCAGGCAGGCATGCAGGAGTGTAGCAGGCAGGCAGGCATGCAGGGAGTGTAGCAGGCAGGCAGGCATGCAGGGAGTGTAGCAGGCAGGCAGGCATGCAGGGAGTGTAGCAGGCAGGCAGGCATGCAGGGAGTGTAGCAGGCAGGCAGGCATGCAGGGAGTGTAGCAGGCAGGCAGGGAGTGTAGCAGGCAGGCAGGCAGGCAGGCATGCAGGGAGTGTAGCAGGCAGGCAGGCATGCAGGGAGTGTAGCAGGCAGGCATGCAGGGAGTGTAGCAGGCAGGCAGGCATGCAGGGAGTGTAGCAGGCAGGCAGGCATGCAGGGAGTGTAGCAGGCAGGCAGGCAGGCATGCAGGGAGTGTAGCAGGCAGGCAGGCAGGCAGGCATGCAGGGAGTGTAGCAGGCAGGCATGCAGGGAGTGTAGCAGGCAGGCAGGCAGGCATGCAGGGAGTGTAGCAGGCAGGCATGCAGGGAGTGTAGCAGGCAGGCAGGCATGCAGGGAGTGTAGCAGGCAGGCAGGCAGGCATGCAGGGAGTGTAGCAGGCAGGCAGGCAGGCATGCAGGGAGTGTAGCAGGCAGGCAGGCAGGCATGCAGGGAGTGTAGCAGGCAGGCAGGCAGGCAGGCATGCATGCAGGGAGTGTAGCAGGCAGGCAGGCATGCAGGGAGTGTAGCAGGCAGGCAGGCAGGCAGGGAGTGTAGCAGGCAGGCAGGCAGGCAGGCATGCAGGGAGTGTAGCAGGCAGGCAGGCAGGCAGGCAGGCAGGCATGCATGCAGGCAGGGAGTGTAGCAGGCAGGCATGCATGCAGGCAGGGAGTGTAGCAGGCAGGCATGCAGGCAGGCATGCAGGCAGGCATGCAGGCAGGCATGCAGGGAGTGTAGCAGGCAGGCAGGCAGGCATGCAGGGAGTGTAGCAGGCAGGCAGGCAGGCATGCAGGGAGTGTAGCAGGCAGGCAGGCAGGCATGCAGGGAGTGTAGCAGGCAGGCAGGCAGGCATGCAGGGAGTGTAGCAGGCAGGCAGGCATGCAGGGAGTGTAGCAGGCAGGCAGGCAGGCATGCAGGGAGTGTAGCAGGCAGGCAGGCAGGCAGGCATGCAGGGAGTGTAGCAGGCAGGCAGGCAGGCATGCAGGGAGTGTAGCAGGCAGGCAGGCAGGCATGCAGGGAGTGTAGCAGGCAGGCAGGCAGGCATGCAGGGAGTGTAGCAGGCAGGCAGGGAGTGTAGCAGGCAGGCAGGCATGCAGGCAGGCATGCAGGGAGTGTAGCAGGCAGGCAGGCAGGCATGCAGGGAGTGTAGCAGGCAGGCAGGCAGGCATGCAGGGAGTGTAGCAGGCAGGCAGGCATGCAGGGAGTGTAGCAGGCAGGCAGGCATGCAGGGAGTGTAGCAGGCAGGCAGGCATGCAGGGAGTGTAGCAGGCAGGCAGGCATGCAGGGAGTGTAGCAGGCAGGCAGGCAGGCATGCAGGGAGTGTAGCAGGCAGGCAGGCATGCAGGGAGTGTAGCAGGCAGGCAGGCAGGGAGTGTGGCAGGCAGGCAGGGAGTGTAGCAGGCAGGCAGGGAGTGTAGCAGGCAGGCAGGGAGTGTAGCAGGCAGGCAGGCAGGGAGTGTAGCAGGCAGGCAGGGAGTGTAGCAGGCAGGCAGGGAGTGTAGCAGGCAGGCAGGCAGGGAGTGTAGCAGGCAGGCAGGCAGGCAGGCAGGCAGGGAGTGTAGCAGGCAGGCAGGCAGGCAGGCAGGCAGCAGGGAGTGTAGCAGGCAGGCAGGCAGGGAGTGTAGCAGGCAGGCAGGCAGGCAGGCAGGCAGGCAGGGAGTGTAGCAGGCAGGCAGGCAGGCAGGCAGGCAGGCAGGCAGGCAGGCAGGCAGGGAGTGTAGCAGGCAGGCAGGCAGGCAGGCAGGGAGTGTAGCAGGCAGGCAGGTAGGCAGGGAGTGTAGCAGGCAGGCAGGGAGTGTAGCAGGCAGGCAGGCAGGCAGGCAGGGAGTGTAGCAGGCAGGCAGGCAGGCAGGGAGTGTAGCAGGCAGGCAGGGAGTGTAGCAGGGATGCAGGACGTGTAGCAGGCATTCCAGAAGCCAGCATTAGTCTTCAATAAAGGTATGAAATACTGATTTGTTAAAAAAATTGTTTTGGTGAGTATTTTCGTCTGGAACGATTAATTTTATTTAATTAGTTCTTATGGGAAATATTATTTCAGTTTTAGGCTGAGCTTCTGGAACGGATTACAGCCGAGGGTCCACTGCATATGCATTTTTTTTAGGCCAAGCTCTATTACTCACTTAATATATGATAGTGTAAACATGTTATTAGGCTTTTATATGCATTTGAAAGTGAAAAGAGTATGTTTCACCTTACAGCAATTTTTGCTGTAGCCTGGAACCTAACCTGCTGTATAAGCAGGGCCTGCCTATACCCTTGATTTAACAGACTTCAAAAATACATAAACACGGCTGGAACAAGTGTAGAAGCCTTCAAGAGGCAATTGGACAGTATCTTCATCAGATGCCAGATCAACCAGGCTGTGATGGATATTTGGGGCAGCGGGCCTCCAGCAGCAACAATCTGGTTAACCAGGCAAGCACCAGACGAGCCTGGCCCATGGCTGGGCTCCGAGAGTAGTGAAACTCTTGAAACTCTTCAAAGGTAAGGTAAAGGTACCCAGGACCATGCTAGGCAGGGCTTACTTAGCCCTTTGACTGTCGCTGGCCGTATATATACGTCTTACGAGGTACCGTGTTTGACGTATATATACTCATAAATTCTAGCGGCTTCAAATCAAGCAGGAGAAAGCTGGTAGGCCCACATGTGAGAGAATGGGTCTGTGTGGTCAGTGTGCACCATATAAAAAAAATACTGGAGCACGCAGTGCATAATGAGAAAAAAAAACTCAAGACGTTTTTTTTTTTTTTTTTAATTGCCGACTTTGTGGTCTATTTTCGTATGGTATTTATGGTTGTATACTCGTTTTCCTGGTCTCATTTGATAGAATGGAAAACATATTGTAGAAATAGAGGTGATTTTGATTGATTTTACTATAAAAAGAACCTAGAAATGGAGCTCAAAGTAGGGGAAATGTTTGATTTTTGCCAATGTTCAAAAGTAAACAAATGATGTCATTGTCCAATAAATGTCCAACTAGCCATTCTAATATGCAGTCATGAATGGGTTGATGTTATTTATACAATTATTACAGTATTGCAGTACTCTGCATAATAGTAAGTCTTCTATTTTTTGTTTGAATAAAAATTCAAAATAGAAAGCAAGAGTAATATCAGAGGGGCCTGGAGATATGACTGATGAGCAAAGAAAATGTTATTTTATAGCCAGGAATGTCTGCATTGTTCATTCTGGACCTTATTTTGAAATTGTCATATTTTTTAGTTTTCGTGAAATTGGCCAAATTGCAAATTTCTGACCACATTATTAGGTAGTTGAAATCAGTAAATGGGCAGTTTCTTGTACTCAATTGATAGAAAAAATAGAGTTCTAAAGAAATAGCTATGAGATTGGGCAACTGGTACAATGGAATTAGCCGAAAATAGGGCTCAAAGTGGGCGAAATCGCCGATTTGTAAACAGCGCCGAGGTCACTAACTTCGCGAGAGCATAATTCCGTCAGTTTTCCATCAAATTTCGTTTTTTGGTGTCATTACAATCGGGAAAAGATTCTCTATCATTTCATAAGAAGAATTTTTAAATTTTGCGACACCAGGAGACACCTCAGGATTGGGGGTTGTGACAGTCAAAGGGTTAAACCCCCCTTATTAACTCTTAAATGGTCCAAACATATATATATGTTTTTTCAACATCTGAAAGTGTGTAAAAAAATGTAGATCTTTTTTGTTTTACATCTGAAAACGTGTAAAAAAAACTTATCTACATTTTTTTTTGTTGCATTTGAAAATATGCAAAAAAAAAAAAAATAGATCTACTTTTGTAGCACTATGAATTTGAACGTCGATCTGTTTGGACCATTTAAGGGTTAATGTATATGCTAGTTGAATAAGGCACATAAAACAGCAAGGTACCTTTGTTAAACTGTTTCGCCTGTCAGTCGGGTGAATGTGACTTATTGTAGACAGCAGAAGCAGTGGAGACGTAAAGATGCAGCGAAACTTGAGGCATGAGAATGGGGCCTTTTATAATAGTCAGAGGTAAGTGCTGAATTAGAAGATATACCAGCATAGGCAGGGCTCACAGGTAGGATAATGAACATAAGAATTGAGCACTGCAACTGGCTAACTGGTCCATGCTAGGCATATCTCAATTTCTATCTTTCACACACAAACCAGTGGTTGAACAACCAGGGAACTCATAACTCTTGGAGGTTATCATAGGTACATAAGAAAGAATGGAGTTTTTAGACTGGTATTCATCAGTAGCATAGCTTATGGTCTTAAGTTATACGTACTTCAACTTGATATATCATGGTAAGGCCTCGTTTAGATTATGCTCTGCAGTTCCGGTCACCATAATACAGAATGGACATAAATGTTCTGGAAAACATACTGAGAAGGATGATGATCCTGCATATCAGACATCTTTCTTACATAGGGCTCTTGTGGCTAAAGCTCTCGTTTCACACGGCAAGGGTCTGGGTTCGATTCCCAGCCAGGGTAGAAACATTGGGCTTGTTTCTTTATACTTTGTCTGTGTTCACCCATCAGTAGTAGTATGTCATTGATGTCAGGTAGGCCTGTATACCATGTACATGAACTTGTAGTAAATAAAATTATTATTATTATATTAAGGATAGACTGAGGGCACTGAATCTGCACTCTAGAAAGGCGCAGAATTAGGGGGGATATGATTAAGGTGTATAAATGAAAGGCAGGAATAATTAAAGGACATAAATGTGCTAAAAATATCCATCCAAGACAGGACTTGCAGCAATGTGTTCAAGTTGGAAAAATTTACATTTAGGAAGGATATAGTAAAGCACTGGTTTGGTAATAATTGTGGATGAGTGGAACAGACTTTTGAGTGGTATCACTGAACTGTAAGTTTATTCAGATACAGGTACACATAAATACATAATTATCATACATAGCATGTATGTAGATTACCTAGGATAATCCAAAAAGTCGGACAGGATGACTTATTTCCATTGGGATATTTTAGCAGGCCTGGCAAGCATCCTGGGTTAAATTTTGAGGGAAGAACAAAATTGCTTTCACTAAGAGACTCGAGTGATGGAATAAAAACATTGGTTAAAAATGCTTCATTGTTGGTCTTTCCTACTTCACCATGAGCATGTGATTTGGAAAAAAAAAATTATGACCATTTCAGGGCTTTCTTTGGTTTTTTAACTGCAAGAGTGAATGCTGTAAACGATAAATCATGCGTGTTGTCTGTAAGCAGTTTTCATAGCATTTACTAACAGTTCTTATTTTTTACAGGTGACGAAATGTTCACAGACACCTATAAATTTGAAAGCATTGATGATGCCTTTTATATGGTGGTAGGCAAGAACATAACATTGTCTGAAGGCAATATAGAGTTAGAAGGTGCCAACCCCTCGGCAGAAGAGGCTGAAGAGGGTACAGAAAGTAATGTCATTTCTGGTATTGATGTTGTACTTTACATGCGTCTTCAAGAAACAGGATTTGGCAGCAAGAAGGACTATCTTGTTTACATGAAGGATTACCTCAAGAAGTGAGTGGTGTATTTCTTTCTGTTGGTAACTGCCCAGCTTCATAACTAATTTATGAATCTTTTTACATTGCAGAGGTTATGATATATGAATGGAAAAGTACTATATTGAGGGATGACTTCAGTTTTATAAGGAACCAAAGATTCTGAAAGAATAAGGGAGTTATGATAAGATTTATTCAGATTTTGAACCCTGAGGGTTAGCCACCTAGGATACCCCAAGAAAGCCTGTCATTGGGGACTGTCTTATTTCCATTGGAATCCTTCAGTCTCGTCCCACAGGATGCGACCCACACCAGTCATCTAACACCCAGGTACCTACTTGATGCTAGGTGAACAGGGACAGCAGGTGTAAGGAAACATGTCCAACATTACCACCCATGCTAGGGATTGAGCTATGGACACTTGGCATGAAACCAGTATGCTGAATGTTGACATGAAAGGTATACAATACTGACAAGAGGAAGAATTAGACAAATGTGCAACATATGGATATATTTATTTGTAGATGTTTTGCCAACCAGTGATTTTATCAATACAAGGACATGTGAAGAATGTAGAATTACAATGTACAAGAATCTGAAAGATTCAAGACTAGAGGGCTCTTTCTTCAACTCAAGACTGAGGGATTGATTACCTCATCTTTTGTATATAATTACATTTATGTCCATGTATTGATAAAGCTACTGGTTGGCAAAATGACTACAAATAAAGATACCCAGATATTGCACATGCGTGTAATTCTCACTGAATGTTGGTGATGCTGCTTGTTAATGAGTTTTGAATCAGTTTTTAAGATTGATTGCCTGTCTCTTTGTTTTCATGCATTAACTTACTGTTGCTTTGCTTTTACTTTGGACTTATTACATTAACTCCATAAAAGGAAAATTTGTATTTTAAATGGGGTAGGCCTTTAGAAGGTGGGTTTGAAGAAATTTGATTTTTTCTTCTTTGGTTATTAGATAAATTTACTGCACCAAAATATACTCTGCATTATTTGTTTTTCTGATACCAGAATTTCAAATGGTTTCCTTAAGTTAGTTTGTAAAATATTTGAACTTTAAATGTCTTATTTAGACTAGTGGCTACAAGTTACAGCACCATCACTAGGCCATTTGACAATAAACCCACAAAATGGACTTGCCTCAATAATGGTCTGGAGCAGATCAATTTAATTTCAGTTTGCGCATTTATTGTTCCATGAGTTCAGTGATAGTACCTTTGGTGCACAACCAAAGAACCCTGGTTCAATCCAGAAGCAGGAAACTGGCATGTTTCCTTCTATCTGTTACTCCTTTGGTCATTTGGCAGTAAGCACTTTGTATCAAGTTCCCTGTTTTCTATAAATTTCCCAAACTGACTGTATTCCTGTTTCTCTAGCATGTATCATATCTCACTAACACTCAAATTTTTGTTCAACCCTTTCTCTTCTCTAATGCCACAATGGTATTTTGGCATTACAGGAAATACTAGAAATCTATCAGTAAGTTAAATGCACATTTCTAGCTTTATCTCTTAACAGTGTTTGGTAACCTCTGCACTACCATCTAGGTTCTTGCACTGTGATCCTGTCATATTATACATGTAAATGTTGCACAAAACTAATTTGAGGACTAGGTTTTCTAGGGTTGTTTGCTTCAGTGGCGAAGGTATAATTGATTGCTAGTTGATGGAATAGTTCAGCTACTGCTGCATACTGCACTTTAATACAAAATACTGGATGGTGAAACACACTTCAGCACCTTGTGGCTTTCTTACTGACTTGAATAAGTAGAGACTAAGCTGCAAAGAAAAGGCTGGAATGTGACAATGCAGGCAAGGCACATTATCTAGCATGCCAAGACAGATGCACTTCCAAATATGCTAATAATGAACATCATCCCAAGCTGTTGGAATCAGAGCAGCTCCTTTTGGCAGTAGAGATTTATGCACAGTCTGACCAGTGGTAATGGCAAGTCACTCAACCATCAACTTCAGCGATGGTTTTATCATTGTTTAGGTTCTGTTGACCACATTGAGGATATATTTAAAGCCTTGTTTGTGGACAATAAGATGGCACAAGAACTTTATCATGGTCAAACAAGTGCTTCTTATATGGTTAAAGATAGCTTCCAGGGGTATTTCATTGATATACTAATGACATCAAAGGATCAGAGCTACTATTCAGTATTCATTTTGATGAAATGGCCACTTTCCAGGTCAAGAAGCAGATGGATTTCTAACTAGCAGGTATTGGTAACACGTGAATTGTCAAGTCATTAAAAGCAAATGCTTCCACTACTATAGAACACTCACACATGCTTGCTGGATGTTCAAACCCCTTGCATTTCTAGATTTACACACCCTCCAAGTCATCCCATTTTGCTCTGACCCCTCTAGATGTCCAAACCACCTCAACAATTCTTCCTCACCCCTCTGGTTAATACTTTAAGTATCCCCCACACTTCCTTCTGTTCTCCAAACTATGAATTTTCAGCTTATTTACACCACATGTTGCCTTCAGACATGACATCTCCACTGCATCTACCCTACTTCTCACTGCAACATTCACAGCCCATGTTTCACACCTATATAAGATTACAGCCTCTCCTCACTTAACCCTTTCAGGGTTTCAGACGTACTGGTACGGCTTACGCACCAGGGTTTTTGACGTACTAGTACGCCTAAATTCTAGTGCTCTCAAATCTAGCGAGAGAAAGCTGGTAGGCCTACATATGAAAGAATGGGTCTGTGGTCAGTGTGTGCACTATAAAAAAAAATCCTGCAGCACACAGTGCGTAATGAGAAAAAAAAAACTTGACAGTGTTTTTGGTTTAAAACATCGACTTTGCACTGTATTTTCGTATGGTATTTATGATGGTATTCTAGTTTTCCTGGTCTCATTTTATAGAATGGAAGACATGTTACAGAAATTGAGACGATTTTGATTGGTTTTACAATGAAAAGTACAGTGGACCCTCGCCTAACGAACGCATCGCATAACGTTAAATCCACCTAGCGATACATTTTAACGCAAAAATTTTGCCTCGGCTAGTGCTAAAAAACTCGCCCAACGCAATTCGCTCCGTTCAAGACGCGTCCACGTGTGGCCTGAGCCCAGTGTTTACAAGCCAGCCACTGCGGTCGCATCCAAACATAAAATTGGAACATTTCATATCACAGCGTTTTTAGTGATTGCACCTGCAAAATAAGTCACCATGGGCCCCACAAAAGCTTCTAGTGCCAACCCTGTAATAAAAAGGGTGAGAATTAGTATGGAAATTAAGAAAGATTTTGAAGGGTTTGGGGCTAACCCTGAGATGCCTATGCCAGTTGTGGAATCCATTGTGCCTACTTCAAAGATTAAGGAAATGTGTGCAAAGCGGGTTGAACTGCAAACCTTTATGGATGAAAATCACCCTAACACAGCTATTGCAAGCCGTGCTGGTGACTATTACAATGACAATGTTATGGCCCATTTTAGACAAATCTTAAAGGAACGGGAGGTACAGAGCTCTATGGACAGATATGTTGTGCGACAGAGGTCCAGTGACTCTCAAGCTGGTCCTAGTGGCATTAAAAGAAGGGAAGTAACCCTGGAAAAGGACTTGACACCTCGAGTCCTAATGGAAGGGGATTCCCCTTCTGAACATTAACACCATCCACACACTCCCCTCCTCCCATCCCATCAATCATCGCCAGATCTTCAATAAAGTTAAGTGTCATGTAATTGTACATGTCTCCTTCAATTTGTGTGTATTAAAATTAATATTTCATGTGGTAAATTTTTTTTTTTCATTGGGGTGTCAGGAACGGATTAATTTGATTTCCATTATTTCTTATGGGGAAAATTAATTCGGCTAACAATAATTTCGCCTAACGTTGAGGTCTCAGGAACGGATTAATATCGTTAGGTGAGGGTCCACTGTACCTTGAAATTGAACTCAAAGTAGCGGAAATCTTCGATTTTTGCCAAAGTTCAAAAGTAAACAAATCATGCTAAGCGTCCAATACACGTCAACTGGTGAGTCTAATATTCTTTCACAAGTGCGCTGATATCATTTATACCATTTCTACACTAATGCAGTAGTCTGCATAACAGTAAATCTTCTATTTTTTTGTGAGAATAAAAATTCTAAGTGGAATGCAAAAGAATGTAAGAGGGGCGTGGGGACGTGACTAATGAACAGAGGAAATGTTATTTTAGTGCCAGGAATGCCTTTCTTGTTTATTCTGGACCTATTTGGAAATTGGCATCTTTTGAAATTTGTGTGAAATTGGCAAAATTGCTAAATTCTGACCACTTTATTGGATAGTTGAAATCGGTAAATGGGTGGTTTCTTGTACTCATTCGATAAAAAAAAATGGAGTTCTGGCGAAATAGTTATGATTTTTGTCGACTAGTACACTGGAATTGGCCGAAAATAGGGCTCAAAGTGGGCAAAATCGCCAATGCATAAACATCGTAGAGACCGCTAACTTCGCGAGAGCATAATTCCGTAAGTTTTCCATCAAATTTCATGCTTTTGGTGTCGTTATGATTGGGAAAAGATTCTCTTTTCGTAAGTTTTTAAATTTGGCGACCCGGAGAATAAGTCTTGGAGAGGGCCTGGCGACCCTGAAAGGGTTATATGACGACAGCTTGATTGTCCTAAGACCATGTCCAGATAATGAATTTGTCTGCTAAGTGAGAGCTATATAAAATTTTGGTATGGTTTATGTTAACATCTTATGTATATTTGTAATAAACTTTGCACTATTTATAAAATCTCTGATATATTATTTAAATGTTTCATACAGTTAAACTGTATAATATGTAAAATACAGCAATGAGGAACTATACCTACTGTACTATCCATTATTTGGCTTCATGGTCAAACCGTCGTAAGTCCAACATCATAAACGAGTACGTCGCTAAGTGAGGAGGCTGTATGTCCACTGAACTGCATCCCGCATCTGGACAAATCTCTACAATGCAACATTTCAACACCTATATGCACTTGTACTTCCCACCTCAGAACTGGATCTGCAACTGGCAATATCCTGTATCTAAGAATGGCTCAGCTTATGCCAGTGAGGGGCTTTTGATGAAAGACATTGGCCTTTTCTTTACTTTCTTGGATTGTGATTGTCTTCCATTCCCCCCAGGTGCTATATGACCCTGCTGGCTTAGTGCTCCTTCCTAAATAATAAGTCGGTTTTTAAAGGGGTAGACCAGTAAGTCAGTGGAAGGCCTTGGTAAGATAACCAAAAGATCCAGTGGTGGGACATGCCATGTCAGAAGACGTGTAACCTATTTGTTAACGAGTCTTTCCTAACCTAACCTAAATACAATGGTAATTCTAATTGCTGCAAACTCCAGTATTCAAACTATCATTTTTTTTTTCTCTCTCCTGGCTGTTTACCTCATTTTTCAGTACTAAGAGTAATGCAGTCATATTGAATCTGCATTGACTCTAAAGAAACTGATACTGGTGGGTGTTCAAAAAGCCATCAGTAGAGGCAGTGCTAAAACCTTGGTAACACATTGACAAAGGGGGTCAGGAGACATGTGTACAAATACTTAAGACATTTCTTTTGGAAATGTTTTGGTCCTGGGACTTAGACGACTTCTAACATACAAAGTCAAGAAAAAATAACTTATATGTATAGGCAAAAAAGTGAACATACAGTTGGGTGAAGACCTGATGAAAGTTGCATGGTGTGAGAGGTTGGAGAGGGCATCAGATTGCTCATGAGGTCATTGGGGCTTAAATAGGTGAAGTATTAGGTGTGCCAGTGTCTTCAATATGTTGTACTTCTAGATTTTTTTTTATATTATGCACCAGTTATCTTCCAGCAAGGTAAGTTGACCTTAAAGAGAAAACACGTTTGCAGCCATTCATTCACTTGCTGTCTTACTAGAAGCATGCTGACATCATACTTCACATGATCTTCCAAACCAATGTCTTTACTCATTGCAGGCACTGTACTTCCCACCTGTTGTCATTTTTTGCTTTAGCTGTTCTGAAAGTGGGGGGTATGTATATTCTCCAACAATAGATGAGCTGTGCATGGGGACATTTATACACAAATAATCTGCATTTGGTAAGAAACTTAGGACAATTCAGTCGGTCTGGGACTGTTGACGCACATGCACGCACTCAAAGAAAACTATTTTTTTAATAAAATATAAAGAACCAACATACATAATAAGAATTTTTTTTAGTTTTTTTTTTTTTTTTTACATACCCATATGCTCAAAATGTAATTTTCCATTGCACAGTTTGTTAAATTTTGCACAAGTTGCACACTAAGACATTGGGCAGCTGAAATATTAAACCCAAAAGCACTTTTAAACAGCATACAAAACTGTATTGCAAAACCCGCTTATTATGCACTAACTTGAATTATCACCTAACTGAGCAGCTCAAGCAAATATTAACCCCTCTTCCCTCAATCTCCAGGTCTCCAGTCCAGTTAATGGGTTTTCCAGAATCTCTTAATATTACCAACCCCCAAAACCACCTTTACCCCCATACCTCCAACTCTTCTGGGATACCCCCCCCCCTTTTCCTTACATCCCAAATTCACACACCACCTTGGGTATCCTATTCTGTTCCCTCTTTAAATGCTTAAACCTCCTTAGCCACTCTTTCCTTGTACCTCTATGGGATTACCAAAGGTATATTTTAAGGTCTTCTAATTTCTTCACTCTCCTTTTTTCTGTATAACAGTCTCACTGCACAATACTCAATGGTTTTAAATGGGAAAAAATTCAGATTCAGGAAGGATATAAGAAAAAGCTGGTTTGGTAATAGTTGTGGATGAGTAGAACAAACTCCCGAGTACCGTCGTAGTAGCTAAGACGTGTAGTTTTAAAAATAGGTTGGATAAATACATGAGTGGGTGGGTGTGAGTTGGGCCTGACTAGCTTGTGCTATTAGGTCAGATGCTGTGCTCCTCCCTTAAGTGAATGTGACTGACCTGACTAGGTCAAGGCATTGGCTTAAGCTGGTGGGAGAATTGGACCTGCCTCACATGGGCTGGTAGGCCTGCTGCAATGTTCCTTCTTTCTTGTGTTCTTATGATTTCATCTAGCCTCCTTGCTGTAGGGTTTAAAGTCCATATAGTATTTATGTATATATACAGTACTGTAGAGATGTTAAAAAAAATTTTTGGGTGTAGTTTGCACCAGAGACTATTGTCCATCCCCTGGTCTTAGGAATAGGCTTAAAACTGTTTGTCTGCCATTATTGTGATATCTAAATTACAAGTTTTTAGTTTGCTTGGAAGAATAATTTTTAACTGCAACTGTCAGTGTATTTATTAGTTATTTTCTGATATATTTTGATATTCTTACTTATAATTTCAGATTAAAGGCAAAGCTGGAGGGCACGTCTGGGGCAGATAAGCTTATTGCAATCCAAAAGCCTCTGAATGATGTACTCAAGAAGTTCAAAGATCTTCAGTTCTTCACAGGGGAGTCAATGAATCCTGAGGGTATGGTTGCAATTGGGGACTATAAGGATATTGATGGCGAAGAACGGCCCGTATTCTATTTCCCAAAGTATGGTCTAGAAGAGGAGAAACTATGAGCCAACTTTTATATTAATATTAAATATTCAAGTAAGTAAAGGTACATACAGTATTGGTCTTAAGTGCTAAACGTAAAATAATTTCCCAAATTGCCTTTATACAAAATGGTTAACTTGAGCAATGGTTTTTGGAATGCTGTAATATTTTAAGCTTAAATATATATCGACTTAAACTGAAATTGCAATCACTTGACAGTAATATAGACTTTTTGTGGTGGATGAGATTTGAGCTTGCATAATTAAGCTTTTAATCCTTAATACTATCTCATTAATTCATCAGTAAGGATAGATTGTAGCTTGTGAAATGGTTTGGGGTGTCCACAGATGGTGCATTTTGTATTTCTTATGAATACAATACTCACATGTAGTTTTTTTTCCAACAAGTTGGCCGTCTCCTACCGAGGCAGGGTGACCCAAAAAAGAAAGAAAATCCCCAAAAAGAAAATGCTTTCATCATCATTCAACACTTTCACCACACTCACACATAATCACTGTTTTTGCAGAGGTGCTCAGAATACAAGAGTCCAGAAGCACATACGTACAAAGATACACAACATATCCCTCCAAACTGCCAATATCCCAAACCCCTCCTTTAAAGTGCAGGCATTGTACTTCCCATTTCCAGGACTCAAGTCCGACTATATGAAAATAATTTATATAAATTATATAATTATATAAAATAATTTGCTAGATGCACTTTAAAATAGGACTCAAACCAGGGTATAATTAATAAATATTTTACTATTACATTCGTGGGGGAGAGCCAGACCTGTAAGGGTCATACAGTGCCCTGGGGAAATGGCAGGCATTAAGGCTTGATCTAGGGAAGGGGAGTCCAGGTTCAGTTCCTTGGATCAAAAGGTCCCCTCACTGGCTTCAAGGAACCTCTCTTTAGGGGAGACATTGTAATATTAATGATGTAAGTGCCTTTCTAATTTGTTTTTGTTTATTTCCAGATCCTAACAACTGGACCATTGGAACAACAGAGTTCTGCTATGCCAAATGTCAAGTCTTTTGACCTTCACTAATAAAAATTGCTCGCAGTCTCTCTTTTATTCACTGATTTAAGCATTTTAATTTAATTTGTATATGCATACAAAATTTATTGAACAGTGCAGGGTGAATCACACAAGGGCACTTATCATGTCTACCCTTCAAAAAGGAGATACATACGTACATTGCCTTGATGCTGATAAGGAGCTCTTTGATCATGGTACCTTAGTCAAAGGTTTGCATACCAAGAACCACTCCTTTCAAGGACATAGCTAATTTACCTCCCACAGTTAGCTATTAATTTTTTTATTTTCAATTAACTCCCATTGACCAGTCACTAAGACTTGTGGGTTAGTGCATTCTTTACTTATTAATTATTTTTCTTGGCATTACTTGCTCTTTTCCATTTATCATTTTATTACTTTGTATCTCAGATATATTCACATTTTTAGTAATCCTACCTGCATTGCTGTATACCCTTGAGGATTAGTCTATATTTTATTGTATAATATAAGCTCTTTGATATAGTACACATTTCAAGTCGTGGTCTAGTTTTTGTGAATATAATCCTTTCCTTATCAAGAAGGTTCCCTTGTAGGACTACTTTATCTGTTATTCTCCCTTCAACCGCAAATGCTGTCAGGTAACTATATAACCCTTTATGGGTTCAGCTTATTACCCTTAATAAAATAATGTTTTCTTTACAGTAACCCTAATCTCCATGCTTTTAGATCTTTGTTCCTTCAAAAGGGGGAGACCTTTGCTGTTAGGGGCTCAGTTTTTTAAAATATTGGATTGTACTTGCCTTCCATTGCTAATAATTGTTTAATACAATCACACTCAGTGCTAAAATCCTTGAAGGTCTTACTGCAGTTATCACTTAAATCATAATCAAGTAAGGAACTATAAAACTTTAGGTCCTAACTTCCGCAAATGAATGACCCTTATATTATTTGTTAATTGCTAACCCACCTTTGCACCCGATTTGGAAAATGTGGTCGTGATCTGTCTAAAATAAACTACCATCTTAAGTAATTGGACTGTACTCCCCTCTATAATAACATTACCTCCGAATGCGACAATTATGTAAAGTATTTATGTAAGGTTTTTGTATGTATTTTGGGGCTCTGAAAATGCTTCTAACTTCACATATTCCTATGGAATAAATTGGTATCTGACCGCAACATCTTATGGAAGTGAAATAAATATCGTTAATCGGTGGTCCACTAATAATATAGGGTTTTTGGCCGTCTTATCAGTGTCAAGGGTGGGAGACTACTCTCTCCCTCCTTCGCATCGGCCACACTTAGTCTTACAGGTATTTCATGGACAGGCGCCCTGTTCCATTGTGAGAATTATCAGGTTTGTTTCAGTTAGCCACATTCTGTTGGACTGTCCACTTTATCAACGAGCACACAGAATTTACCTCCATCGTCACCGCTGTCCTTACCTTACCTTCCCTGCTTGCTAATGGAACCTCCTTTAACCCAGACTCTCTCATTGACTTTTTTTGACAGCAGCCGATTTACTACACAAACTGTGCTCCAGTTCCCCGAATTAAGCCTGAATGCCTTCCACATCCCCCTCCCCAGGCGCTGTATAATCCTCCGGGTTTAGCGCTTCCCCCTTGATTATAATAATAATACTACACAAACTCTGATGATGATGCCTCTAGTACTCCTCATGGCCCTTTCTACCTCAATATCTTGCTACCCTCTACCCAAGCAGTATCCGCTGCCCTGTTGCACTCCATGACCCAATAATCATCCCTCTTGCTACCCATTACTAATGCATCCTTCCCTGCTCAGCGGTGGTATATGACCGGTGTAGGCTTAGGGCTTCTATTTCATTATAATAATAATCCTATATTGTTCCTACGAATGTGATAATTCTAGCTTGTTAAATGACCCTTGTGGGTTTAACAATTAGTTATAATTGTAATAATTGTGAGTTTAGTGCTTAGTGTTGATTGATTTAGCTCATTAAAAATTTCAGGCATTAAATATCCGAATAAAAAGTCATGTACGATATACAATGTTTTATTTGTAAAGAAATATTTTATCACAGGCAATAGAAATAATATGAAAGATTTTTAACAAAATTAACACAGTATAAATTCATAATTTGCAAAAAACAAATGCACTCAACAATGAAAATAACAGCATCACATAACAGTACAACATACTGTTTACTGGGTATCTTTCATTCTTAGATGTGTGTTTTAGTTCACACAATGTGGATTTCTGTAGAACAAATACTAATAAATTTTCACTCTCAGGTGGTCAGAGACGTAGTGTGTATACGTAACTAAAATAAAATTGCATAAATTCATGTAAAACAAATATACAGCAGTCTAATATTCCAAATTTCATTCTAAACACCTTCAAAGGAAATGCTACTCACCAGTCTACCCCTCAAGGGGGGTTCCTTAATGTTGGTGATGGGCTCTTGATATAGGGAATTGGATCTATGTTCTGGTTCCCTGAATTGAGTCTGAATACCTTCCTTCCTCCCCCCAGGCACTGTATAATCCCTATGGGTTTAGTGCTCCCCATTAATAATAAATAATACTCCCCATTCTTAGCTTAAACCTGAATGCCTTCTGAAGCCCCAGTGTACTATGACCCATACAGATGCTAAGCCCACATGGGTCACAGCATCTGGGGGAAAAGGAGGAAACGATACAAATGAAGGAAAAGGGGCAAAGTAGCTCCAATTCAATGAATCCAGATTCCTCCACTGGCATCAAGGCACCTACCTCCCTTCAAGAGCATAAATAATTCGTAAACAATAAAATTACCAGTGTCAGCAAAAAAAAAAAAAAAAAATCCTTACAGCAACTTCAAATGTTTCCATTTTTGTACTCATAAGTGCTGTATAGTCCTTGTGGCTTAGCGCTTCTTTTTGATTATAATAATAATAATTACTCATAATCAGAACTAATTTTATTCATACTTATTTATCCAAAATGTTAAACCTACATGGGTTATTCAGCACTAAAGTTAATTTGTGAGAACTCTCAAACGTAAGAGTTGACATTCATCTGCTGGCTCCAGGCTGGTGACAAAGAGGTAAGCTATGACAACCATTTTAGACTTGATACCTCATAATAAAAAACTAGTCTCACATTTTCTAGTTCTTTCACAACTTTAAACAGATTAACACGCCATTGCAAAATCAAGTTATTCTATACAAGTTTGGTATAAGTTTATCAACAGAAAAGTTTAGTCTTACTTCAAATTCTGTTATGGAAAGCTAAGTACCATTTTAAACCTATCCTGCCTATAGATGGTTCCAAGGATCACTGCTCCTCAGCCTGCTCTCAGACCAATCCTCCTGATCAGACTGCAGGCAACACAGCCCGATCAATCAGCTTGAGGGAGAAAGAAAATTTCTCCAAAAGTGTGTGGTCTGTCGGTAATTTTCCTTATATGAAAGGAGTGCGTTGAAAAGCTTTGGATAATTTTTTAATATTCCAGTAATAGGCATTTCCAACAGTTAACAACCCATGTCCAAGTTTCACATTTATATTGTTGGTAAGAATGTTAAATTTATGGATCAATAATGTTCACAATTCTTATACATTATTCACATAAAGCACTAAACCCGTGAGTATTTACAATTTAAGTTACCATCACTAGCATACTGATACAAATAATCACTTTAACCAATGTAAACAGTAACCAGATCTAGGTATATATATACTGTGTTTGTTTTAATAAATCACTATCAAAAGTACACCATGCAAAATACCACAAACTTCTCCTGTCCCTGCCCACCTGTTCTATAATTCCCACTGGCTCTTCAACAATGCATAAATTCCTAAATTATAACAATAACAAAAGCTATATACCAAATACTATCCAAAGTGTCCAAGCTAATCAAGTCCATAAATGTATATCAAGGTTTGGAGACAAAAGCAAAGGTTGCAGAACAAGCCTTCATTCAGACAATGTTTTCAACATTGAGCAAAAATGTCCCTATAAAAAAAAAAAAAAAAATTCATATTTGCTGGAAATGCACCATTTAAAGATTTCAAACTACAAGGAAAATTGCATCTAAAGAAGTTGTGAGAAAAGCCCTCATAGGAACTCATTAGTCGCCTTCCATTCGATAAGCTAAATACAGTATCAAATCAGCCCATTACAGGATGATACATATAGTAAAGGATTTTCCTGTACTTGCATTAAAATAAGTGCTATTGACATAAAAGATTTTTAAATATATCAAGAAATGGCATTATTCCAGTTTCCTAAAGTCACTTTTTAATGTACTGATTAGTAAGTAACCAAATGAAGTAATTATAAAAGTTAAGCAGCAAGCTAAACTTCACTGATATGAAGTATATGTGTACAATGAATGTGACTGAAATTAAGTAATCTTTCTAGTACTATAAACATATGTTTAAATTACAAATTAAAATTTCTGAATACTTTTCAGAAGTTGGCACTCATATTCAACGATTTTAGTAGGTTTCTGTATAAAAACAATTTGTAAAAGTGAGAGTTAATATACTTCATATAATTATCAAAGGTACCGAGTCTGCACTTATTTGTCAACAAGAGATTGCACATGGTTATGTACATTCTGAATGGACTGCAAAATTTACAGTAGACTATAACTAAATTTGTAACAAGACAGTTTGTTTAGGAAATAGCAAATCACTATATTTCTAATATTTTTAAATTGATACTTATATATATAACTATTTATTATTATTAGGAATATTACTAAATATCAGTAAAGATATGAGATATAAGGCTTCCATTAATATCAAAGGGTATCCTGAGGTTCTGCACTTATTTGTACATATCAAGAGATTGCACTGGTTTGTACATTCTGATGAGCTGCAAAGATTTACAGAGACTAGTAACTAAATTTGTAACAGAGCAGTTACGGTTTGAGGAAATGAGCAACTCACCTAGTATTATTAATATATTTTATATATAATATACATTATATATATACTATATATATTATATATTTAGGAATGATTACTAAATATCCAAATATGCACTATGGATATTACAGGCCTACACAGTTATCTGCTGAACACAGAAGGAAACACTTAAGCCTGTGTGGATATCAGCTCAAATTAAGTTCACCAGGAAAATAATTCATTACACTACAGTATAACTCCATCCTATTCATAATTTTTCACAGGACAAAATGAGCACCAAACTTCCTGAGCTTAGCAGTTGTCACACTTACTACTCTAAGCAAGCAAGTAAGTTACCTCCACTTATAGTAGTAGAATCACAACACTGGCTTGAAAAAAAAAATGGAGAGATTTTATGACTATGTTAAATGAAAGGACATAGCAAGGACTGCACGTACATTGACAGTAGTACCTCCGAAGAAAGTGCAGAAGCATAGCATCAACCATCTCGCTGCATAGAATGAGAAGGCATCTTGGGGATAAATATACACACAGTGCTTCAGACATTTAACTATATGTATTAAACCTGCTATGGAACTAAGAGTATTTACTAAGATCAAGGTTTACCTAAAGCATCAAATAAAATTAACAGACTTAACCCACTATTGTTGATTACCCATAAGATGCTATACCAATGGAAAAAAGTCTTAAGAAAAGCAGTGTGTCCATTTATACTCCCCATAGGCACATGGCTTCAAAAGAAATGATGAAGCACACTTCTGTACTCTAGGTATGGTTTGGACAAAATCGTTTGCATCAACATACGACTTCAATCAGCTAATGTAATCATTTCATTTCCCTCAATGCCCAGTGTTTTGTGCAATCAATAATTTTGATAATAATCATATCCATGGTTCCACAAACATATCCCATCACAGAATTTATTGACAATGCACAAGCATAAATACAGTGAGATAAACTTGCCACTTGGGCTTAATGTTAAAATATTTTAACATATTACTAAACAAAATTCAGATATAACAAAAATTTGGATTTCATCCATAAACTTATTTTCAAAAAATAAAATTAGAAACAGAACAATATACTTTGTAAATGCATCAGTGTCTGATGTCTATTATATACAGTATACTGTAGGTGCACCACTGCCCAGTATTAAAGCACAGGTGTTCAAGCTTCACATACATAATGATCAACTTATCTTCACATAACAGTATTCACTAAAATAAACACAGTCTTTCAATTATTTAACCTCGCCACCACACTCATATTTCTTAAATGCACAAGTTTTTTTGTTTTTGTTTTTTCAGGTACATATTTCCTACAATTTACACTATCACAATCTAGTATCCATTTTAAAGACTGCATGATATCTAAAAAAAAAAAATTCACTGATTTTCATTAACTATTCTTTACCATCTATTACTTTCTGCATTATGTTTCCATATCTCCATAACCAGTTTTCTTTTCCCAAAACTTAATTTGCAACATTGCCAAATTCAAGTTAGCCTCATGCTGTTGTCGCTGCCACTCGTGAGCTTCCCGCTGCTGCTGGTATCTTTCTTGTAGAGTTTTACGCTCTAATCTTAAGTTTTCTATCGACAGCTGAGCCTGCTGCATTTGTATCTGAGCAAGAAGAATGTCTTCATCACATAACTGGTCCATTTTTTGCTTTCTTGTTCGTCTTGAAGGGCCAATATTTGGGGTTAAATCTGCATTTGGCTTTTCATAATAGGTCTGCTCACAGTTCTGAGAGGTATCTGATGCAGAAGATTGCCCAGTCTGAAAGCCATCCATTCTGACAGTGGAGTTTGTTGAAGTTTCTGGTAGCAAACAATCTGGAACCATATCCTGAGGATTCACCACAACAGTTTTCACATCATCATCTATAAAGAATAAATAATAACTATAAATAAAACAACCCAATACTTATGCAGTATTCTAAAATACAGTAAAATAAAATACTGGAAAGTGTATATTAAAGGATAAGAATAAAGTACTAATGTAGCTTCAAGGGTGTTTATGATGGATATGAAGTGCCACAATTTCAAAATACAAATACACATATTCTTACCATACACAGTATACATAGATGGAAATAAAAGCCATTAAACTGTTTGGTTTAAATAAAAGATACTACTGACTGGAATCTTATTCTCATTACATCATCTACCAGAGCCTGAATGTCACCACAAGTATTTAAGATTCTATATACTGTATATTTTAAAGTAATTTTATCTCTAACTGCACCCACAATCAGCCTAAATCCACTTCTTACAAACTAACTACATTCATGGGAGGCACTTAACCCATACAGGTCATACAATACCCTGGGAAATGGAAGCATTCTGGTTCAATCCAAGGAAGGGAGAGCAGATCCAATTCCTTGAATCTTATTGTCCCTCACCAGCAATGAAGAACCTCCCTTGAGGTAACTTATAAAGTAGCTTAACAGAAGTACAGTAGTTAAATGGTCATTCATTATATTCTGACTATCACCTACCCTGAGACACTCATTTACAGTCTCTAATTTATTTTAGTAACTCAACATACGGAAATCAATTCTATTCTATCCCTCTCTTTAACAAGTACTAAACATGGTTCCCTAAGAACTCTTCCTCAATTGGGATGATTATCATTATTATTGGACAATTAGTTTTATTATTATTTTTTTATTATTTTCATTATTATAATTTTAATACATTGGTCATTTCCAAACATGGCAGGGTAACCCAAATTAGGAAACATTCCTCAGCATAAGAACATAAGAAAGGAGGAATGCTGCAGGAGGCCTGCTGGCCCATACTAGGCAGGTCCTTTACAATTCATCCCACTAACAAAACATTTGCCCAACCCAATTTTCAATGCCACCCAAGAAATAAGCTCTGATGTGAAAGTCCCACTCAAATCCAACCCCTCCCACTCATGTACTTATCCAACCTAGATTTGAAACTACCCAAAGTCCCAGCCTCAATAACCCAACTAGGTAGACTGTTCCACTCATCAACTACCCTATTTCCAAACCAATACTTTCCTATGTCCTTTCTAAATCTAAACTTATCTAATTTAAATCCATTACTGCGGGTTCTCTCTTGGAGAGACATCCTCAAGACCTTATTAATATCCCCTTTATTAATACCTATCTTCCACTTATACACTTCGATCAGGTCTCCCCTCATTCTTCGTCTAACAAGTGAATGTAACTTAAGAGTCTTCAATCTTTCTTCATAAGGAAGATTTCTAATGCTATGTATTAATTTAGTCATCCTACGCTGAATGTTTTCTAACAAATTTATGTCCATTTTGTAATACGGAGACCAGAACTGAGCTGCATAATCTAGGTGAGGCCTTACTAATGATGTATAAAGCTGCAGTATGACCTCTGGACTTCTGTTGCTTACACTTCTTGATATAAATCCCAGTAATCTATTTGCCTTATTACGTACGCTTAGGCACTGCTGTCTTGGTTTAAGGTTGCTGCTCACCATAACCCCCAAGTCCTTTTTGCAATCTGTATGGCTAAGTTCTACATCATTTAACTTATAAGTATTGGGTTATGGGCACTCCCAAGCTTCAGAACCTTGCATTTATCTACATTGAACTGCATCTGCCACTTTTCTGACCAAGAATAGAGTTTGTTTAAATCCTCCTGAAGTTCCATAACATCTACGTTGAATCAATTATCCTACTTATCTTTGTGTCATCGGCGAATTTGCTCATATCACTAGTAATTCCCTCATCAAGATCATTGATATATATTATAAACAACAACGGGCCCAAGACTGATCCCTGTGGAACGCCACTTGTTACAGATCCCCACTCGGACTTAACCCCATTTATGGACACTCTCTGCTTCCTGTCAGTGAGCCATGACTCGATCCACGAGAGCACTTTTCCCCCAATGCCATGAGCTGCCACTTTCTTTAACAGTCTATGGTGCGGAACTCTATCAAAAGCCTTACTAAAATCTAAGTAAATAATATCAAATTCTTTATTGTGGTCAACAGCCTCAAAAGCTTTACTGAAGAAAGTTAATAAATTAGTTAGACAAGACCGGCCTCTGTGAATCCATGCTGAGTATCATTAATCAAGCTATGCTTATCGAGATGGCTTCTTATAATCTCAGCTATAATTGACTCTAGTAATTTGCCTACAATTGAGGTCAGGCTTATTGGGCGGTAATTTGACGGTAACGACTTGTCCCCGTTTTAAAAATAGGAATTACATTAGCCATCTTCCACATATCAGACACTACACCTGTTTGAAGAGATAAATTAAAAATATTAGTTAATGGTTCACAGAGTTCCATTTTGCATTCCTTAAGAACCCTTGAAAAAACCTCATCAGGACCCGGCGACTTATTTTGCTTCAGTCTGTCTATCTGCTTCACAACCATCTCACTAGTGACTGTGATGTTACATAATTTATCTTCTTCTAGCCCACTGTAAAAATTAATTACTGGAATATTGTTAGTGTCTTCTGTGTAAAAACTGAGAGAAAATAATTATTTAAAATCAAGCACATTTCATTCTCTTTGTCAGTAAGGTGCCATAGTTATTTTTAAGGGGACCTATCTTATCTCTAACTTTTGTTCTATAGACCTGGAAAAAACTTTTTGGGTTAGTTTTAGAATCCCTAGCAACTTTAATTTCATAGTCCCTTTTAGCTTTTCTTATCCCCTTTTTAATGTCCCTCTTAATGTCAATATACTGATTCATAAGATGACCCTCACCTCTTTTGATACGCCTATAAATTCCTTTCTTATGCCCTAGTAGATATTTGAGCCTATTATTCATCCATTTTGGGTCATTTCTATTTGATCTAATTTCTTTATATGGGATAAACGCTCTTTGAGCAGCATGTATAGTGTTCAGAAAACTGTCATATTGATAGCTCTCTTCGTTACCCCAGTCAACAGATGAAAAAGTGTTCTCTAAGCCCATCGTAATCTGCTAAGCGAAATCTGGGGACTGTTACTGAGTTATCGCTACTATCGTACTTCCATTCAATGCTAAATGTAATTGATTTGTGGTCGCTAGCACCCAGTTCCTCTGAAATTTCTAAATTATTAACAAGGGATTCATTGTTTGCCATAACTAAGTCAAGCAGGTTATTTCCCCTTGTAGGTTCTGTCACAAACTGCTTCAAAAAAAAAATCCTGAAATACTTCTAAGAAGTCGTATGATTCTAAATTCCCAGTCAAGAAATTCCAATCAACATGACTAAAGTTAAAGTCTCCTAGAATTACTACATTATGGTGCCTTGTGGCCTTAACAATTTCCTCCCATAGTAGTTTCCCTTGGTCCCTATCTAAGTTTGGGGACGGTATATCACTCCTAAAAATCAGTTTTTCATGCCCCTCTGAAAATTCTATCCAAACAGACTCTGTATGTGTTACTTCAGACTTAATACCCGTTTTTATGCAACAGTTCAAGCGATCTCGGACATACAATGCCACCCCACCCCCCTTCCCAATACTTCTATCTTCTTGGAACAATTTAAAACCCTGAATATGACATTCCGCAGGCATGTCCCGACTTTTTGAATTAAACCACGTCACAGTTAAGGCAAATACATCAATGTTACCTGCACTAGCAACTAATCTCAACTCGTCCATCTTATTCCTAGCACTACAGCAATTAGCATAATAAACATTGAAAGACTCTCCTTTCTCTTTACCCTTCCTGCTCTATCTGTTTAAATTCATATTAGCATTATCACAGTAACATAGAATTTTCTACATACAATGCAAATGCCTTGAAAAGTGTAAAAAAAAAAATAATAAGATCTACTACAGGAAATTCCCATGCTTATCTACCTATTATGCTGTGAAGCAGTCTACTTTGTGGCACTTCAAAATGAGTGGAAGGAATGAGGATTCACTCGCTTGAAACATTAAGATTACTTATGAAAAAAAGATCAAGAAAAAACAGAAAACATTCATTGAAGGTTAGAATAGAAATACGAAAAGGATGCATACTACCAAGTGGCTCTGGAGTGCAAATCTAATCCAAATTAGGAACCATCATTGAAAAAAGCAGTACACTTTCATTTTCCCCTATACAGTATCATTAATTTTGTGCAAAACACAAGCCAAATAGTTATGATGACTTCCTCATGCATTATTGCCCAAATATTTGTACTGTACCAACAGTAACTTTTTCACCTGCTTCTGTCACCTTAGATCAAATTTTAAATTAACTCTGATTACATAACACTCTTCTTCAAAATTCTAAAATAAAAGAATGTCTCAAAATTTTCTCCACCTGCATTCTTTAACAAAGAGAATTAATAATATTCTTATTAGTTCCTAGATTTCATATATAGAAATGGAGTACAGAGTACGAATTTCTCAAAAGTGTTTAACGTACTGTATTCAGTAAAACTTAATTAAACTGTTAGTGATTCAAGGGTTAAATGCTTCCCAAGTTAGTCTCAGACCAGGTTTCCTAAACTGAAAATGCTGAATTAAGGAAAAGTATTAGGAACTATTAAGACACAAGGGAAATTAAAGTGTACATACAGCATACTGCATATAAGTAAAGGTTTGCAAGATTTGTGTGTCATCTTATATACGTATTCATAAGACGAAGACATACATGACCAACAATCCTTCCAGAATCCAAAACATTTAACATGCATTCATGTGCCATTCAGGTGATAAGACAGCAGTACCTTCCTGGATGGATGATATCTACTCCCCCTTCACACCTATGACTAAATAAGTAGAATGTAACTTAAAAATATATAGGATACATAGGCAATAAAAAAATTAAGTCATGCACTGACAGACCAGAATTTAGCATACAGGGATTGAGCACATTGAGAACAGCCTCTACTTCAGGTGTAACAGCCGATGGTACAGATCGATTATCTTCTGATCCGTTTCGTGTTGCTCTATCACTGGAAGAAAAACATAAATTATACTACCAGAAGAAAGTCTTTGTAAAGGCAGACATATTTAAAACTAGATATTGAATTTTAGAGCTAGATATGTACTAGTCTATCACTTAGCGATCAAAAAAGTATGTATGCTATATATATCCATCCTGTTTCCCCAGTTACATAATTGTTCTGAAACTTAAATGAAAAGAATGGATATTTTATTACTGTATTAATATTTTCAAGAAGAATGATTTGTTTATCTTAAAAAATTACAAGTTAGCAGAGGACCCATAAGGAAATTACACCATCTAAAAAAATATGCTAGTAAAGAAGACACTTTACTGACATACATTAAAGTTTAAAAACAAAAAAAAGGCTCAGCAAATTTATTAAAGCAACCTCTGGCTATCACATAGAGAAAAGATAGTAGCATTTTTTCTGCAGTTTTAACAGTTTTGGAGGTAACTAGAAAGAAGTAAAAACTACAAGATTAAAAAATAAAACAAAGACAAACTTAGAATTGGCTCAACAGGCTATATCCTGGCCTGATACAAAAATGACAAATTTTACTAATTCTCTACAGGCTGTCACCATCACTAGATTTTAAAGAATAATCTCACCTCTGTCGTGGAATTCTAAAATTCACAACAGAATCTGTGAACTGTGTCAATTATTCCTAAAGCAAATGTATTCTGTACCTTATGATTTTTTTTTTATTAACACAACCGTTTCTTACTGAGACAGGGCAACTCGAAAAAGAAGAAACACTTTCATCATCACTCACTCACTCCATCATTGTCTTGCCAGAGGTGTGTTCACACTACAGTTAAAAAACTGCAACAAATTTCCACCCCTCCTTCAGAGTGCAGGCACTGTACTTCCTACTTCCAGGACTCAAGTTCAGTTAACCAGTTCCCCTGAATTCCTTCATAAATGCTACTTGTGTCATTGAGATTATTCTGCTCAGTTCTGGTCACACTGTATTACAGGATGAACATAAATATGCTGGAAAACATACAGAGATGATAAATTTCATTCTACGAATTAGAAACCTTTCCTACAAAAATAGGCTAAAGGTACTGAACATGCACTGTATGGAAAGGGGTAGAATTTGGGGAGATATGACTGAAGTGTATAAATGGAAAAGCAGCAATAAAGGTTATATAAACATGTTGAAAATATCTAACCAAGACAAGACTCTCAACAATGGATTAAAGTTGGAGAAATTTAGATTTAGATAAAATGTAGGGATGAACTGATTTGGCAATAAAATTGCAAGTGACTATTATTATTATTCTGGTTATAAAGAGCGCTAAATCTGTAAAGGCCACACAGCACAAAGAGGAATGGAAAGAACTTAGGTTCATTATTATAATCATGGGGAGCGCTAAACCCGTAGGATTATACAGCACATGTAGGGAGGGATGGAAGGTATTCAGGTTCAATTCAGAGAACTGGAGCACAGATCCAATTCCCTAGATCAAGAGCCCCTCGCCAGCGTCAAGGAACCTCCCTTGAGGGGAGAACTTAGGTTCAATCCAAGGAAAGGGAAGTCAGGGCCAATTCCTTGAATTAAGAGTCCTTCAGACATTAAGGAACAAGAAGTGGAACAAACTCCCAAGTAACATCACTGAAGTGAGAACCTTGAGTAGCTTTATTTACTGGTTAGAAGGGTGCATAAGTGCGAGTTAGACCTGCCTAGCATAGGTCAGTAGGCCTACGTCATGACCCAAATTAACATGAATAATAGCAAGATCAACTGACACAGGAGTCCACCAGACGGGTCAATTTTTTAAGACCCAACTGTGAGGATAAACCTGTAAGGGTAGGTGGCAATCAGGTTTGTTCAAAAGTGGAAAGTGGCTCCAATTTCGTGGATCACGAGCCCCTCCACTGGCGTCAAGGAACGTCCCTTGAAAGGACCGTGTGCATGTAGCTGTAATAAAACTCTTACAGCCTCCAGACAATGAAAACATTATGCTGCAACGGATTCCCTGTTACCTCTGTTCTATTACTGATGTTATATTAAAGTGTTGTCACCTCTCTAGTGCCTTCTTGGCTCTGGCTTTCATGTTTTCCCAGCAGCGCCTCAGCTCCCGGCTGCTCCTGGGTTGGGTTGAGGGATGAGCTGAGAATTGTGCTGCTATCACTTCCCACACTTGTTCTTTTTCTCTGTTAGATGCTCCGTCTCTCTTCTTAGACTCCACTACGTCTTTGTGTTGCTCTATTAACGCTGTCAACACCGTCTTCTCTAAAGGGATAAACCATTTTCGTCGGCCCTCAGTTCCTTCACCGTATTCCGCCATGTTGACGTAAACAACTCAAATTTGCTGCAGTTTTACCAACTCTTTTCTATAAAAGACCTTACTTATGGCAAATAAATATCGTTTAATTTCAGTAATCACCTTATATAAGCCTTTCGGAGTATTAGCTTATAGATAATAGTCTAAGAATAATTTTTATTGAAATAAATTTGTACTTCAGTAAAGTTGAAAATCAAAATTTTAAATTTCAAAGATTTACTTTTATTTTGGCTATACCCTTAAATAAGATAGGAACAACATGATTAGTTAAAAGTAACCAATCATATGCCTCGTTACATCCCGTGATGCAGGAAACGCACAAACGAACGCTACACTCCCTCAAGAGCCACTTGATTAAGTTTAATGTCAAACAAAAACAAAAAATATGACCACACGCGCTGTTTTTAATAGCCCATATTTTTACTCACATAACAACTTTGTCTTAACATAGAAATTCTAAAGACAAAGTCAATTAGAAACGATGAATTATTGGTTTGAACCAGCGCTTCATTAGTTTAAATAATTTAGTAACCCTTTTGTAAATTCTTTATTTTCTAAGAATTTTCTTCATAATTCACGAGATGATATATTTTACCTAGTTAGAAGTGATATATAAATGATTCAGGACGATTACTATAACTATTAAAAAAGTTATTCTCATTGAGACTGTACTGGAGTTTACCTGGAGAGAGTTCCGGGGGTCAACGCCCCCGCGGCCCGGTCTGTGACCAGGCCTCCTGGTGAATCAGAGCCTGATCAACCAGGCTGTTGCTGCTGGCTGCACGCAAACCAACGTACGAGCCACAGCCCGGCTGATCAGGAACTGACTTTAGGTGCTTGTCCAGTGCCAGCTTGAAGACTGCCAGGGGTCTGTTGGTAATCCCCCTTATGTGTGCTGGGAGGCAGTTGAACAGTCTCGGGCCCCTGACACTTATTGTATGGTCTCTTAACGTGCTAGTGACACCCCTGCTTTTCATTGGGGGGATGGTGCATCGTCTGCCAAGTCTTTTGCTTTCGTAGTGAGTGATTTTCGTGTGCAAGTTCGGTACTAGTCCCTCTAGGATTTTCCAGGTGTATATAATCATGTATCTCTCCCTCCTGCGTTCCAGGGAATACAGGTTCAGGAACCTCAAGCGCTCCCAGTAATTGAAGTGTTTTATCTCCGTTATGCGCGCCGTGAAAGTTCTCTGTACATTCTCTAGGTCGGCAATTTCACCTGCCTTGAAGGGTGCTGTTAGTGTGCAGCAATATTCCAGCCTAGATAGAACAAGTGACCTGAAGAGTGTCATCATGGGCTTGGCCTCCCTAGTTTTGAAGGTTCTCATTATCCATCCTGTCATTTTTCTAGCAAATGCGATTGATACAATGTTATGGTCCTTGAAGGTGAGATCCTCCGACATGATCACTCCCAGGTCTTTGACGTTGGTGTTTCGCTCTATTTTGTGGCCAGAATTTGTTTTGTAACTAACGTTATATAAAGAAATTGGAAAAATTCATAGAATTTTCAGTAACATTTAAATTGTAAGCAGAAGGCATCTATGTTTTGTACATAACCTACAGAATATTGTTAAAACTAGTTTAATATATCCATGCCGTGGGCAGTAGTTATTACAGAGGCACATAATGGTTCTAGGGACTGTACCTCAGCATCACAGAGGTACATAATGGTTCTAGGGACTGTACCTCAACATTACAAAGGTACATAATGGGTCCAGGGACTGTACCTCAGCATCACAGAGGCACATAATGGTTCTAGGGACTGTACCTCAGCATCACAGAGGTACATAATGGTTCTAGGGACTGTACCTCAACATTACAAAGGTACATAATGGGTCCAGGGACTGTACCTCAGCATTACAGAGATACATAATGGGTCCAGGGACTGTACCTCAGCATTACAGAGGTACATAATGGGTCCAGGGACTGTATCTCAACATTTCAGAGGTACATAATGGTTCTAGGGACTGTACCTCAACATTACAAAGGTACATAATGGGTCCAGGGACTGTACCTTAGCATTACAGAGGTACATAATGGGTCCAGGGACTGTATCTCAACATTTCAGAGGTACATAATGGTTCTAGGGACTGTACCTCAGCATTACAGAGTTACATAATGGGTCCAGGGACTGTACCTCAACATTACAGAGGTACATAATGGGTCTAGGGACTGTACCTCAACATTACAGAGGTACATATTATTATTATTATAATCAAAAAGAAGCGCTAAGCCACAAGGGCTATACAGCAACAGAGGTACATAATGGGTCCAGGGAATGTACCTCAACATTACAGAGGTACATGGCACCAGGGACTGTACCTCAATATTACAGAGGTACATAATGGTTCCAGGGACTGTACCTCAACATTACAGAGGTACATAATGGTTCTAGGGACTGTACCTCAACATTACAGAGGTACATAATGGTTCTAGGGACTGTACCTCAGCATTACAGAGGTACATAATGGGTCCAGGGACTGTACCTCAACATTACAGAGGTATATAATGGGTCCAGAGACTGTACCTCAACATTACAGAGGTACATAATGGTTCTAGGGACTGTACCTCAAAATTACGGAGGTATATAATTACCTGGAGTTTACCTGGAGAGAATTCCGGGGGTCAACGCCCCCACGGCCCGGTCTGTGACCAGGCCTCCTGGTGGATCAGAGCCTGATCAACCAGGCTGTTACTGCTGGCTGCACGCAATCCAACGTACGAGCCACAGCCCGGCTGGTCAGGTACCGACTTTAGGTGCTTGTCCAGTGCCTGCTTGAAGACAGCCAGGGGTCTATTGGTAATCCCCCTTATGAATGATAGGAGGCAGTTGAACAGTCTCGGACCCCTGACACTTATTGTATTGTCTCTTAACGTGCTAGTGACACCCCTGCTTTACATTGGGGGGATGTTTCATCGTCTGCCGAGTCTTAGAAACCTTTCAAAGATTTTTATGATGTAGGACGCTAGTGCTATCGGCCTTTAATTCTTTGCAGTTAATTTCTTTATTGCCACCTTTGTGAAGTGGGGCTATATCCATTGTTTTTAGTGACTGTGGGATGACCCTTGTGTCTATGCTCCCTCTCTATAGAATATTTAATGCCCGTGAAAGGGTTTTCTTGCAGTTCTTGATAAACACGGAGTTCCATGAGTCTGGGCCTGGGGTAGTGTATGGAAATGTGATCTATTAAGTCACTAAAATATTAGTGTAGCTTATATGTGGTTCTGAATTAGTATTTGTTTTACCATATATTTTACCACGGTATGGTTAAATTTAAACAAGTTTAAGTGGTTATGAATTATTTACAATAGCAAAGTTGGGGTATTATTCGCAGAATAGCTGGTAATATGCCGCTGTGACCTTTCCTAAACATTTGAGAAGAAGTTGCCTATGAATTCATTAATTTTATCGCGTTCCATCAGATTATGATTAAATACTTAATGATAAACTTCATTTCAACAAAATAAAGTTGATAACTGATTCGAAAAAGGTGGTATTATTGACATACTTTATTGAAATCCCCTGGTTATGCAGAGCAAGGTGTGACAACAGCTCATCTGATCAGGCAAAGTTTACATTTAGTTATGTCTATATGAACTGGTGATGTAACCTCCTAGAGATACCAGTAGCCTAGCCGGAGCCGGGCGGTAAGACTTACTTATGATGTATTACAGAATATATGAAGTAATGGGTGTACGAATACATGTCATTCTTTTTTCTTTAACATCTGCTGAAAAGGGTCACTAACTGAGGCAGAAATGTACCAATCTATCATGCCAGCGTTTCAAATTTTTGTCGAAGTTTTCTCAGCATTGTATATTTAGATTATAGGCAATGATTAAAGATTATAACACACAGCAGAAATTGTTTATGCTAAGATTCATACACCTCCAGCAATGAAGAGGATATAAGGGTGAGCATAACAGCAAACATATCACCGGAGGCGTACATCAGTAGCACATATGCACACCTGGACTCATCATGTGCCTCTGTAATCCTTTGAATACCATCCACAGGATGAGTATGTACCAGGAGTTTATCTGGAGAGAGTTCCGGGGGTCAACGCCCCCGCGGCCCGGTCTGTGACCAGGGGTGCATAATAAACATATTAAATTAACTGGCAAATTTAAAACAAGCATTCGCGTATCTCAAAAATGAATTCCTCACAATCCAATAAATGGCATATTTTAGACTTCTCATGAAGTATGCAACACTTACGTAAAAAAACACACTTCCGAAAACAAGTGGGACATTGAGGTAATGTAATCAAATTTTTCCATAAAACTCTCGCTATGAGGAACGATTAGGAATTCTTTATATTTACATTTTAGCAAGGCGTGATTGAATATAACAAGTATAAAGGGTTATGAGTTATTTTTCATAGGCAAAGTTAGGCCAAGTTCATCATAACAGTGGTCGATAGGGTTAAGAGGAAGTGCTTGGAAGCAGCCATGGTCTCACTTCCCCAACGGAGTCGCCTTAGAACTCTGACCAATACGGCGGCCCCGCAATTGCAGGCGACAGCTTCCTACCTACCGGAGGCCTGGTCGAGGACCAGGCCTCTCGGGCGTTGATCCTCGGAACGGTCTCCAGGTAGCCATCATCAGAGTATGAAACACCATCGAGCAGATCCAAGGTGCTTTCAGATTAGCAAGACTTCATGCATACATACTGCTAAGGAATCTTCCCACACAAGGCCCCGACACTTACAGTCCTCCGCCCGTGATCGAGTTGGATTCTCAAACAACCCTGTAGATTATTATTATAATCAAAAAGAAGCGCTAAGCCACAAGGGCTATACAGCATCACAACCCTGTAGAGAGGCCTGGCCCTGTCAGATTTCCACCTTCTAGATGTCGAGATGTCGATCATAAACCTCGGTTCCTGACCAACTGCCCTCTCCACCTCATCGGAATGTATGTTGAAGTAGTTTTTCTGTAGAGTTGATTAAAATCGTACTAATACAGCTCTGTATCTGTATGTGTCTACCACTTGTCAGCTACGCAATACTTCAATTACTTGCATCGCCTGTCCTTACTCATGTTACGT